TATTCCCATTTAAATCGTGTTTCTTTTTTTTAAAGTGTATTTTATTGATTATGCTATTCTAGTTGTCTCATTTTTTTCCTCCCCTTTATTCTTCTCCACCCTGCATTCCCCTTCCACCAGCATTTCCCCCATTGAGTCCATATCCATGGGTTGTACATATAAGTTCTTTGGCTTCTCCATTTCTTATACTATTCTTAACCTCCCCCTGTCTATTTTGTACCTACCATTTATGCTTCTTATTCCCTGTACCTTTTCCCTCATTCTCTCCCCTCCCCACTGATAACCCTCCATGTGATCTCCATTTCTGTGATTCTGTTCTATTCTAGTTGTTTGCTCAGTTTGTTTCTGTTTTTGTTTTTAGGTTGTTGATAGTTTTGTGTTGTCATTTTACTGTTCATAGTTTTGATCATTTTCTTTTTCTTAGATAAGTCCCTTTAACATTTCATATAATAAGGGTTTGGTGGTGATGAACTCCTCTAACTGTACCTGGGTCACATTTTTAAAGAATAAAATCCATGGAAAATGTAGTTTACTTGCCACTCAATTTATCCAAGAGCTGCATTACTGGTAAAATTAAGATTAGGATTTTAGTTCTCATATATTTCTGTCTAGTTTTATTTTTTTTTTAACTGGATCCTTATACTACTGAACATATGTAGCAAAAAAGAAAAAAAAACTTGTATATTTCTTGATTTTTTGTTAGGCAGTGTTGATACATTGAAAACAGTATTGCTTTTACTTTACCTCATCATCTGTTTATTGTAAATTAAGAAAAAATACTTAGAGGGATTCTGCATGGAACACTAACCACATTATTTTTCTTCTTAGATCAAAGGGATTATATTTGTGAATACTGTGCTCGGGCCTTCAAGAGTTCTCACAATCTGGCAGTGCACCGGATGATTCATACGGGCGAGAAACCGTTACAGTGAGTCTTTATTAGTAAACATCTGGGTGAGAAGTACATCTACCCCACTTGAGGGCTGTCCCCTGTACAAAAATTTCAGCTGCTGATATTCTTTACTTTTTCCACATTGGAGTGGGTATTGCTCAGGGAAGCTACTTAGTGAGCTTTTTCTTCTGTTTCTTATGTGTTTTAAACAAAAAAATCAGATAAGTGTTCTATCTGGTAACTTTTCCTAGTTTTTCTTAAGAAACTTGCATTACTGACTATGGTCTGTGTATGTGACCCCTAAATTCTCGCCCTGACTCTGAATAAGAACTCCTCCTCTATCTCATCAGCCATTTCCTCCTCTGCTCTCCTTAGATGCGAGATCTGTGGATTCACTTGTCGGCAAAAGGCATCCCTTAATTGGCACATGAAGAAGCATGACGCAGACTCCTTCTACCAATTCTCTTGCAATATCTGTGGCAAAAAATTTGAGAAGAAGGACAGCGTAGTGGCACACAAAGCAAAAAGCCACCCTGAGGTGCTGATTGCCGAAGCCCTGGCTGCCAATGCAGGCGCCCTCATCACCAGCACAGATATCCTGGGCACTAACCCAGAGTCCCTGACACAACCTGCAGATGGTCAGGGTCTTCCTCTTCTTCCTGAGCCCTTGGGAAACTCCACCTCTGGAGAGTGCCTCCTGCTAGAGGCTGAAGGGATGTCAAAGTCATACTGTAGTGGGACAGAACGGGTGAGCCTGATGGCTGATGGGAAGATCTTTGTGGGCAGCGGCAGCAGTGGGGGCACTGAAGGGCTGGTCATGAACTCAGATATACTCGGTGCTACCACAGAGGTTCTGATTGAAGATTCAGACTCTACTGGACCTTAGTAGAAGGGAAGACTTTAGGCACTGGGACAGCTCAGACTTTGTACTTAAAAGATAAAAAGGACAAAAAAAAAATTTAAAGCATTTTAAGATCTAGTAAAACAACTGAAGGGCCTGCTCTTTCCAATGTGGATCACAGCACACACAGACACACACAGACACACACACACACACACCCCCCCTCCCTCTCTTCTCCCTCTCCTGACCCATTTATAAAATTGATGTTGCCTTTATCAGAAAAGTAGACAAATAATAAGCTCTTAAAGTGAGGGTGATCCTCATGCTCAGTTCCAGCCAGGCAGACTTCTTGCTCATTAGCAGATCCCCTTTTCCAACCTATAATTCTTAAATGCTTTGGATCAGCTTTTAACTCTTAATAGTATATACTGTCCTCTAAATCCCTTCTCCTTTCCTGCTGCCCTATGGTCTGGCTTCTACCCACTGCAGCACACTTATCCTCAAAGTTATCATATAATTCTAATCTCTGGAGGCTGGCAGCTTGACTTGGCACTTTAGGGCCCCTTAGCAGGGTGAGCTGTTAAAACAGCACACATCTCTCACCCCCTTTTCCTCCGTTCCTCACTGGGTTTTAGAAAGGAAGGATACATGGGGACCACTTTGACCCCAGCACCTCAGTCCTCCTCCCAACACCTCCATATGGTTCTCAGTGGTGCTCACTTGCTTGGAAGCAGGCTCCCAGCAGGGAGGGGGCTGCCCTCTGCATGGTCTCTGACCACAGGACAGGGCTGTGTATCAGTGAGACAGAAAAGTCCCAGTCTAATGGCAGAAATTTGCACTTTGAACATGTGTGTTTTTGTGTTGTGGAACCTGAGATTCCTTATTTATTAACGGAAAGTCTGATTTTTTTTTTTTTTTTTTTTTTTTTTTTTTGTCTTCGTTGCTATATTTTGTGGGGCTGGGAGAGATTAGATTATTCTGACATGGGGTCCTTTCCATAAGAGGTACTTTGGAAGGTAAGATAGATATAGGGTTGAAGAAGCACAGCCAGCCTCTTAAAATCATAGCTCTCCAGTGGCCTTTAAGCTGGTCCTCAGCACTAATAAAATCACTACAGTAGCTTAGTGCTTTTTCGGAAGGCTTTTTAGGGAAGAATGTTAGATTTATGGTAATTAGTGCTCTGTGAATTTTTTTAAAGCATTGAGATTTAGGGATTTTGAGGGGATGAGGAAGGTTGTTCAGGGTCTGAATTACATATAAAAGATTTTCTCTTGGGAATTTGTTTGTTTTTATTTTGTTCCCATCGTTTCTTTACACAATGCCCCCCTGTTGGCCCAACTCTGGCCCCTTGCTTTGTTTTGTTTTTTTCTTTGCTTTATCATTGGTTCATTCCAGCTCCCGATTAGTGAAGGACACTGCCATTAAGGAATAGTCTAGGAGTCGTACAGGTTTAAGTCAAAGAAAATCGCTGTTTTGTTTCCCTTTTAATAACACCTCAGAAGAGGAAAGGTTTCAATAGACAAAATTAATAATAGCTGTGGCTTCCACCTGAAATCTTGGGACCCACCACTTCTCTTGAGATAGGGATTTTCATGGGGTGGATTGCTTCTTTACTGTCCATGGAAGAGACTATTAGAAGTTCATAACTCCCAGAAGACGAAAAACCAGTTTTGGCTAATTTTTAGGGACTTTCTGCTCTGTATGCCTCAGAAGCTGGAATTCATGGCTTGCTCTATGCATTGTTTGTCAGAAATGTGCATTGGCTGTTGGAAAGAATGACATTCTGCTGAGAACAAAATAAGGAACAGCTTGTTTTTTCACAAACACTAAAACTACAAAGTTTATTAATTTTCTGATTTTTTTTTTTTCCCAAGAAGAGGGGTAATGAAATGTCATCTCTGAAAGAGGCTTACTTTACACCCACTAGTGTCAGTGGCTGGGATGCCAGGAATAGGGAGTGCAACACCTACAGTGAACAGTCTTAAATGCACTATTGTTTCCAGAGTGTTGCAGATTTGCCATCCCTCCAATGTGGGGGTAGAAAATGAAATAAAGATAGAGGGATGTAGAATGTGCTTTCCTGCCCACAGTAAAGATTTGGAGTTGACTTTGGTATGTTGATTAGGTTTTAAAATATTCTGTGACTGACTGGATGGGTCTACAACAAAGTTGGTTTCCCACCCCCATATAAATCCATTTTGTACTGTTTCACTAGCTAGCATCTGTTCCCATATTTACCTTTGTCTTTGTCCTACTTATCCTATCCTTTGTGTTCATAAACTACAGTTTTGGTAGGTAGTTATCAGATAATTTAGGTTTGTACTCAAAAGCAAACTGCATAAAAAACTTTATGGGATAGAGAGAAATGTGTTCTTCCCTATCTCCTCTCCCCTCCAAAGACAACTAGTTAGTGTTAATAATTAAAATTGTGTGTTGTTTCTTCCCCTTTCTGTCATCTTCATTCACTACTTTTTGCCTACAATTTGCTCCAATAAATTATTATAGCAGTTTGCAGTAAGTTTTAAATATATTTCATGAACTTCTTCCTTTTGAGAAAAGGGATGCTAGTGTAAGAAAGAGGTGGTGTAAGTAAACTGACTTATTCTGGGCCTCTTCCTTTTTTCCTTTCTGCTCCTCATGCTGTTTACTTCATGGTCCTTCCAAGGAGCTCTTTTAATCTTAAAATTCTGCATTTACTACTTTTAATCAAATTCTGTTATTTTTCTTCCCACTGCATATTCTCCATCTTGAATTGGCGATTCTAGAGTCTGAAAATGTAGTTGGGATATAAGCATTATTTCTGTGCTTCCCCCTTGTTTGACCAGGGTTATTTTATATAATTGAGACTTAATATGCTTCAGAGAATTTAGATAAACACTGGCCAGGATTACTGGGAGTAAAAAATATATATATATTAAGGTATGGAAAAGCATCCACATAGAGCACTTGAACCTCCTTTGTACCTATTTGGAGAAAAAAATATAAAGAATGTATTAAACCTGAGGTTATTACAGTCTGGTTGTTTGAAATACCATTTTTCTCTTCTGTCTTTCCCAATTTCCAGTGTACTCAAGAAAATTAAAAAATTGTAATGGATCAATTTAAAATATTTTATTTCCTAAAAGCCTTTTACCTATTGTAATGTGCAGGACCCTTCTCCTTTGATGGGAGAGACAGGTAGTTACCTGAATCTAGGTTGAAAAAAGTTATGTAAAAAGAAATTATAATAAAAGGGATACTCTGCTTTTCAAATTCTTGTTTTCTCTTAATCTAGGTAAGGCATATCCAAAATAAATATGTAAAGAAGAAAAATAAAAGTTGTCTTTATGGAAGCAACTGGTCTTCCTTGGTTGTCCTGAGTTGCAGCTGTCCTAGGATGAAACAGTTGAAGCTGCTCAATAAGAAAACCAAGTGCCCTCAGAGCAGGTTTTACATGGCAGATACTGTTCGTTCTTGTTGAGAATCAGTTCATAACTTTTGACTCTGTTTAGTTCTTGATTTCCAATGCTGAGATGCTGTATGATCCTCTGATCAGTTGGCAAAGGACTAACTTAAAGAAAAAAAATAGAACACTCCTACCTTGTTAAAAAGCCTGCTGCGACATCGACCCAGGCCTCAGTTCTTTCTCCCTTACATCCCTCCTTTATTACTTACTTGTGCAGATTTGCCCCTGGGAAGGCATGTATTTAAATTTAGAGGCAATGTTTGATATGAAATAATTCAAGCCAATTTGTTCATTTGAAGGTGAAACTTGGAACTCCTGCCCAATTAGCACCATCCTCTAACCTAGGGAATTAAAATACACTAGAATAGCAACTTTCCAAGTGGTTTTAAACTCTTGCCCTCATTTCAAAACCAGCTCATTCTCTTATTTTGTTGAAAAGCATAGTGTCACATGAGACTGCCTTAGAAATGTTACAAAGTTGGGGTTGGGTGTTTTCTGTTCTTTGGAAAAGAAAGGCCTAAACAGGACCTTCCTCATCCTCTAAGCTCCAAGGAAGGCATGATGATTGAGATTAGAGATGCTTCCTGAGCTGTTTCTTAATCAAGTGTAAATTAAAATAACTTCAAGTACATAGTAAAAGGATGGGAGTAAAAAGCTCTATTTTTTAAAGGAGGTTTTTCACATAAACTTAGTTTCTTGAACAAAATGTGATCTAGACAATAAAATTGGGAAGACAATAGGAGAAACAGCTGTAGAAGCAAAGGCCTGTATTTAAATTCTGAGCCTCATTATTGGGTGTTGTGCACATTATTTAATTTCTTTAAGCCTCAACTTCTTTTCTATGTAAGGCATGAGAAATAATATTTATCTCATACAATTATTCCCAAGATCAAATAAAGGCTTTAAAGCCTTGAGCAGTGAGTGTCTGGCCCAGGGTAGGTGCTTAATAAGTGGCAGCTTTATCAATAATAATAATAATAATAATGCCAGGCCAAAAAAAGAAAAGACATGGGGAGCACAGGGGCAGGCAATGATAAAATGAACTGATTATATGTGTATATAAAGTAGATTACATTAGGCAGGGGTATCATGAGGATTAGTGTGATAGTGACCTTGTTGCTAGGTGCACAAGCAAAACAATGACATAAAAACAAGTATGCAAGGCAGTCAGTGGAGAAGAGAGAGACGGAGGCAGATGCTGCAGGGATAAAAACAGGAAGAAAAAAAATTGAGTAAAAGGGGCCTTTGATTCCACAGGCACAAAAATCCACAGCCAGGAATTTGCTGCAACCTCTGAGTCAGGCGGGGTGTGGGGGTGGGGTACACTATTCCATTAGTAGAGAATTCCCAGTGGATTTATTCTGAGAGTCACATTTCTTACTAGGACCAGTGTAGACAGAAACAAACTCAGCTCACTTATTTCCTGGGACAGTTGAGTTAGGGGATGGCCTTTGCAGAGCTTTCACCGTTGACCCCTCACCGCCGGGACCTCTGTAGCCATTCTATCTGGCTAGCAAGGAAGATTCGCTCAGACCTGACTGCTCTTATGGAATCTTATGTAAGTTGCCTATTTTGCTGATGTCTATTTTCATCTCTTATGATCCAACCCCTTACCATCTTGCTCCAGCCCCATTATTAATTATGAAAGCCCTAATCATTCAGTTATGTATTAGACATGTTATTTGACATGGCCCCTTCCCTTCGGGAAACTCATGAGCTTGTTTTCTCTAGGTTTTTTAGATGTGTTCCTTGAGTAAGAAAATACACATGGGGTGCTAGGTAGGGTTGGCTATTTGTCTTGGAGGCTGTTTCTAATTTGATCGCCTGCAATCTGAATTCTACCAGAACAGATTAATCGTGAGCCCTCTAGGTTTGGGTTCTTTATATTATATACATTGTTCTGAATTTTTTTAAATTGTGTAAATGGAAGGCAGAGTAAGGCTTATAGGGTTAGGAAGGAGCAGTGTAAACACAACCAATTTCTCCTATACGGTATTAGCCACCTACTTTTTAATTAAATACATTAAAACTGTTTCTTGATCTAAATAGGTCACTTCTAGTATCGAAAGGATACCCTAGAAGATTCACTGGGGAGTTGGGGAAGTTAACCATTATTTCCAGATTGGTTTTCTCATAGTGAAAGATTCTCATCAGTCTCCGTAAGACCTGCTGTGGAAACACTCCAGACCCTGTGGAGAGTATTTTTGCATGGCCCCAACCATCAGAAATCAGAATCTGAAATACCAGTTTTTTAAAACTACGTTCCACTGAATTCTGTAAAGTAGCGGTCCCCAAACTTTTTGGCACGGAGGACTGGTTTTGTGGAAGACAGTCCCCCTCCCCAACACCCGCCCCACTGGCTGGGCGTGGGGAGGTGGGAAGGGGATGGAGCTCAGGTGGTAATGTGAGTGATGGGGAGCAGGATGAAGCCTCGCTCCCGCCCTCTGCTCACCTGCTGTGCAGCCTGGTTCCTAACAGGCCACAAACCTGTTCCAAGGTTAGGGACCCCTCCTCTAAAGGATTGTCCTCACCACTAAGAATGGGCAATAGAGGTGAGGATGATTAGAAAAGTTCCACAGTGGCTGCATTCTAGGGCTTCTAGGTGTGGCCAGGGTCTTCAAGTATGTTTAAAATACTTAAAACTTCAGTATGATTAAAATACTTTAGGAGGGAGTTTGAAGTGGGAAGAAGTTATCCCAGACCAGGGGTTTTCAATCTTTAGAACCTAATGAAAGCTACAGATCCTCCCAAGAAAGATGACCAGCAGTCAAAGCCATGCGTATAACTTCAAGGACAGGAGGGTCTTTCTAAAGTCCAATCATACACCCCAAATCAAGAGTTTCTGTTCTAGACTTTATTTCCTTTATAATTTGGGTCCATGACCAGGGAGGTGAATAAGATTTTAAATGAGATTGAGGGGTTATTTAGAGTGTTGGGGTTGATGGCAGAAGATGTGACGCTTTTCTGTGTTCTTGGCCAGGTGAAGCATCAAGGCCTGAACGGGAACATGAGCCTGGACTCCATGAGCGGTGTGCCAGTGGCAAGCACCGATCGGTGGAGCGAGCTGACTGAGGCCGAGCGGCTCCAGGAGAACCTCCAAGCTTACCGTACCTTCCATGCAATGTTGACCAGGCTTTTAGAAGACCAGCGGGTGCATTTTACTCCAGCTGAAGGTGACTTCCATCAAGCAATACATACGCTTCTACTCCAAGTGGCTGCCTTTGCTTACCAGCTGGAGGAATTAATGGCACTCCTGGAACACAAGATCCCCCCCAATGAGTCTGATGGGATGCCCATTATTGTTGGAGATGGTGGTCTCTTTGAAAAGAAGCTGTGGGGCCTAAAGGTGCTGCAAGAGCTTTCAAAGTGGACAGTGAGGTCCATCCATGATCTTCGAGTCATTTCTTCTCGTCAGACTGGGATCTCAGCACATGGAAGCAACTATATTGCTAACGACAAGAAACTGTAGCAGTTACCCATCTCTTCTAATGAAATATATGTAGTTCTCTGAGGCCTCACTTTTCCATTCTTAAGTTTTTGAAAATCTTGAAGACCACAGGCATTTTCATCAAGTAGGGTTGGAGACATGGACCAATGGGCATACAGGGTTAGTTGGTGGGAAGGTGGGGGAGGGGTGGTTGGGGCCCTAAGGGAGTGCTGGCAGGGGCAACATTGTTCCACCGCAATGCTCTAACATTTTCTTCATACAAAGTAACCTCTACAGACATTTAACAGCCGCACAGGATAAATACATTCTTAACTCTAGTCCTAGAAGCCTCTTCTGAAAGGACTATAACAGGGAATTAAAAATCATGGATGCTTCAATTCAAAATCTTGGATAATAAAAATAGTGACTAACATTGATTGAGTATCTACTATGTTGAAGCGGTGTGCCAGGGACTTTATGTATATTGTAATTTTCACAACCCTGTTCATGGGAGGTGATGTTATTCCCACTTGGCAGACGAGATAACAGGCTCACAGACACATAACTTGTTCAAGATGACCCACCCAAGTCTGGCCCACGAGGTTTGAACCCAGATCTTTCTCATTTTGAAGCCTGTATGCCCTTTCAGAGGCCGGCTTGCGGCTCTGTCGCTGCAGCTCTTTGCCACAGAGGGTCGGCAAACGGATCCATGTAGTTCATCACTAGCACTGAAGGAAAGCAACACCCTACAGCAGCCCCACTCATCCGCAGTTTCCCTTTCCACCATTTCAGTTGCCCGTGGCCAACCCTGGTACAAAAATATTAAATGCAAAATTCCAGAAAAAAGTGATTTCTAAGTCTTAAATTGCTCACCATTCTGAGTACGGGGGTGAGCTCTCACGCAGTCCTGCTCCATCCCGCCCAGGACGTGAATCATTCCCTTGGCCAGTGCGGCCGTGCTGCGCACACTGCCCAGCCATTAGTCGCTCAGCTTCTCAACTGTCCGTATGGCGTTTATCAGAGCATATTGTCATGATTGTTTTATTCTTAGTTATTGTTAATCTCTTCCTGCTAAGAAAAAACAGCGTTCTGTACTGTCTGCAGCTTCAGGCAAACTCGTGGGGGGTCTTGGACTGTATCCCCAATGGATAAAGGGGGACTACTGTACATGTCCTGAAGGGGCACAATTTAATGTCAAATGCAGTTACTTGTTTGTACTTGGCAAAGAAGAGAGCTGTGGCGATCTTAAGATTCTGCTTGTGGAAAAAGATAAGGCCCGCCAAACTTCTAAATTTAGGAAGCTGGGAGTGTGTGGTAATACGTTGCGCTTCAAAGTGTCCACCGAAGTTCCCGAGTTTGGGGTTGGACATGGCTCATACCAGGTTACCGTGCATTTATTGTAATCAGCAATGCTGTGATACGTCACTGTAACCCAAGCGTTCATGAGCAATGGATGGAGTACTGCTCAGGTTAAAACATCACAGAACTCCCTCACCATACATTCTCTGGATTTAATCATGAGGAGAGGGTGAGGCCCGCTCTGTTCCCGGTGGGAAAGCCACCGATACTAAAACAACATACGGCAAAGCCTTCATGCTTCACAGCAAAGGGGCAGCGCTCTGTGCTCAGTGTCCTCGAAAAACAGTATGAAAAGTGCCAGCCCATAAATGAGAGCATTAACGGAAACGTTCACTTGCAGCTATGGACGAGTGCCAATGTGAATCCAAAAGTTCTCAGGTGTGTCATTTCATACCACCAGCTAATTAAGACTCAAGACCTTGGATTGGGGGCCCAAATCAATTTTGTTTACTTACTTAAGGCTTTTGTATTCCTAAATGAGCCACGAGTCACCGCTCATATTTCCAGTCTGGCTCAGATTGCATGAGACGGGATGGGTGGCTTAGCTCGTGTCCTTTCCCACTCAGGTTCATGTCTGCAACGCCATAAAGTCAATATTATGAGAAGACTTGGTAGAAACTAGGACAATACAGAAGAAGTAAGGCCCTGCTCTCTAGTGTGGAAACAAGGTCGTATGCATATAAGAGATCAATACTAGGTTGGAATTATAAGGCACAGGTTTAAATGTTACAGATTTGGAGGAGTGCTACGAGGACCAGGAAGCACCTCTTTCTGGAGGAGGGAGGAGTTGTGTCTCAGTGGCTGGATGAGCACCAAATCAATAGAAATCATGAGGGAGACGGGAAAGAGTTGCCTGGTCAGAGGACAGGCAATAGTATCCCCAGAAAGCCAGCTTCCCCTAAGGTTTGGATTTAATTCATTTGTAATTTTGGTGTAGGTGCGTAGTTACCCAGTGAGGGCATAGAGGTTCATTTAATTCAAGCTTTTCTTTATTTAAATTGTTTTGTCTGCTTAAGAGCAGGATTGTTAGTTAATAAAGTTCTGCTTATTAATAGGATGTTCTTTGTAGTATTTTAAGCTCTTTTTGTTTAATGGAGAAAGATGACGAAAATTTCTTAATAGGGAATAAATAACTGATTACAAACGTTAAATCTCAAAAGCCGTGACCCTTCTCCCAGGGTTTTGTTTCTCTATTCAGATGTTGCAGCAACAGATGCTTGCAGAAGTTTCAGAGGTCAATGGAGCGTGGCGTAAGCTCTGCATAGTTGCATGTGAAGGGATGTTTATGCACACGAGGCACATTTAGGGTGGCAGAGGGTCCAGAAAAGGGGTCAGTACTGACCACTGACTGGGAGGAAATAAGGTAGGTTAGTGCACTCCCAGCACTGTGCTGAGCTGTGTGCATCAGTTTCTTCAAGAAACTTGCAATATGCCTCCAAAGAAGTGTGGTGGACTCTTCAGAAAAAGATAAAGGAAGGGGGAAATGAGCACTGAGCTATAATAATAAAGACATAAACATGTATGGATCTGTATGTGTAGACATTGCATCATGCTTGTCTAAAATGGATGAAGCAGAATGAATAAGAGAGTGACATTAGGCCAGTGCTGTAGGTACATATAAATACTGGGAGTATATATAGTTACATATTTTTAATCAACCACAATACAAAAGAGATTTTTGATCTTTAGATTTTAGTTCTTTTGTTTCTTAGATCTGTATATGGGTAAGATCTCTGGAGAATCATTTTCATATACACATAAACTACATATAAATATGTACATATAACTACATTATATATATATGTGTGTGTGTGTGTATAATAAAGGCATAAATTTAGTTCTTTTCCCCTCATTCTTATCTTGTAAAGAGGATTCTTTCTATCCCATTGTCTCCAGAAATGCTCTCTGTGGGGAAAGAGAGTCTGTTTTCCTGAATCTCAAGGAATTGAATGTGTGAGAGTTGATAAATTCTTCCTGCATTGATTTAAGAGAGTGATTTGGAAAAGATTTGCAAAGTAGCACAAATTCGAAGGCCCAGCATGGGATAAAATTAGCCTTAAGATAGTCAGGTTTGACGGAAGTGAGAGTTTTAATAAAAATGGAAATGTTAAGTCATAGCCCTGCTATTGCTGTTACTTCAGGCTGCTGTGGATTAAAGCCCAACGGATGACTCATTGTGGTGACCGCTGGTCAAACCAGGAGAGGATAAGTGAATATTTCAGGGAGACATATCTGAAAAGTTTAGAATGATTTTTGTGAACCCTCACCTCATGAAGTAGCCGAGCAGTTCGAGGTGGGGGGGTGCGGGGGGAGTGGTGAGGAGCTTCCATCGCAATAAGAAAGGGATTGGGGAAGAGAAAAAGGAGAGAAAAACAGAATTTGGATACCATTTCAATCGATTTATGGTGTGCGTGCATGCATGTATGTTGCCAGCCGTGTTTAGGCCAGGACATTGAAAAGAATGGTTTGGCTCCCTGTCTCATCCCACCTCAGCTTGAAGTCACAGACCCAAGGATGAGCCCTTTGAATGTTGATATGTTCAAAAAATGAGAGTGACAAAAGTTTCCTTCTATAGAGCTCTCAGGCAGCAATTTTCAACCAGTGTGCCAAAGAACTTTTAAAACATGGCACACCTAACTATTTAGTCGGGGGCACTGATCTCTTTTCCCTTAGATTGTCAAATTTAAAAAACAAAACAAAACAGCCAACACAACAAAAGCCATCAGTGTGAATGAATCAAAATTACACCTACTTTTTTTTTTGTTAGATCGGCAAAAAGTATATATTGGGGTGCGCCGCAGAAAGTAGTTTACGTGTGCCATGAGATGAAAAAGCTTGAAAATCACTGCTCTAAGGTCTACAGATAAAAGCAGAATAAAACCAAGATGACTCCCTCTAAAAACAATGCTCCTCTTCAGGAAGTAGCAACTTGGGATAAAACCCAGCATGCCACAGGTGTTCAGGGGAGAAGGTGATGGCGTGATTCCCTTGGCCTTCCAATGGCTGCATGTATGAATATATATACACACGCACATACACACACACACACACATATACATGAAAGTTAGTCTTCTGATGAGATGTGTGTAGGGCACAAGATAAAATCCACATGCATGTGATTCTTACATTACTTGGCTCGATCTGTCTTGGGCAGATAGAAAATAAAAGATGTAAGAATGGCTCCCAATAAAGATCTCGCCTCAGCAAGACCATGAGTTACTTCTTTTATTTTTGTACTTTTGGATGAACAAGGGGAATCTCAAGTGATTTCAACACTGGATGAAATGTAACCCATCCAGGCCAGGCTCAGTCAGGTGTGCTGGGTGCATCGCCACCGTGCCAGGTCCCGGGGGAAGTCTCCCCAGGCCAGTCAGCCTGGGGATGGGAGGTTGCCTGCTCCTACATGCCCATCAGCCCGGCTTGCTGCTGGGGAAGATTGCCTCTTACACGCTTTAATTTCAAGTATTTAATTTGACCCCCTGTGTAGCCATTGAAAGACAGAACACTGACTGGCTCATTTCTGGTCCGTTTGAGGATAGAAGCTACGTTGTGGAAAATCACATAGCGGAAGATATGAAAAATTGCTGAGTCTCTATTTCTATCCACATGTTTAAGGTAGTATGAAACGGAATACTGTGTTCACTTAGGTCAGGCATCTCTATACTATTTTATGTCATTTAATCCTCTGAGATATGATCTCTCTTTCACAAATGAGGGGAATGAGAATGCGCATTAGCTAGTCCAAGTCCCCCATCTAGTACTATATGACAGGACTGGAGTTTTCCATTCCGCCCCACTACATGAGACACCAAATAATTGAGATCATCCAATGAAATTCATTTGCGGGGGGCGGGGGTGGGGTTGTGATAAGGTCAGTACAGACTTGTATCAAATATTCTTCTGTGGCAAACCCTATTACGTTTCCAAACTTTGGGACAAATCGCTTTTTCTGAGGAGTTGTGTAATACCTCAGAGAAATGCCAGTTGCTTCCCAGGATCCATCTGGTCACAGCCTGAACTTCGCCCTTCTGCGCCTGTGGGTCTCTGGCCACTAGCAGCTGACCCAGTCTCACACACAACCTCGAGGAATCATCCACCTCTCTGGAGAGTAGAGACTCAGGCTGTTCACTGCACCCAGAAGACGGCTCTCACAGTAGGCAGGTCAGACAAGGTCTAGAGAAGCCTGCCAGGCTCTCTGGAGAGCCGAGGAATCCTGCAAACCACTGCACATGCCAGGATGCATTAAAGCCTGCATTTGTGCATAGCCGTCTTGCCATAGAGTGGCACCCTCCTATTAGTAGGGGAAGGATCTCGAGCTTCATTTATTTCAATCCTATAATTAAACACCACACAAAATAACAAAACAAAACAAAACAAAACAAACAAACAAAAAACCCATAGCACAAGAGAGCCAGAAAGCTTCAGTAATCTGCCCCAATGTCCCAGCTAGAAAACAGAAGAATGAGAAACAGCAACTTGGTCTGGGGCATTTCCTCCCCACGGCACCTCCCTGCATCTCCATTAGAGGAGCTTCACCTTGGGAAAACACCGAGTAGCTCTGTTGACATTCTTTTCACTCTTCATCCAGTGCTCTCTGGCACCCTTACCTCCATTCAGCCTGGGAGCTCTGGGAAGAGCATCTTATATAACCCAAACTTCACTTTACTCAAGATGCTAAAATTATTAACATTACGAAGGTTGAGGCATTCTTGTTCTGGCTAGCCTGGGAACTTAAACTTTTTGAACTTCTCAGTCCTGTACAATCCTGGGGCTAAGAATGCAGGACTGATTCTTCTCAAGAAGGCACTTTATACTCTTAAGAACCCTTAACTCTTCTGTCTTCTTCAGACAACTTCTGGGTTCTTGCCTAGCTGGGTTCCAAGTTTACAAACCGTAAGACCCCTGGATAAATCTTTATCGCTTATTTCTAGCCAAAGCCACCAAACTCTCTCCAAGTGCTTTTGACACATTCGGTGTCAGCGTTGTGGCATCCGAAGAACGCTGCCCTTTTTCTCGGGTGCCACCACTGGATTCCAGCCAGGTAACTGCTTGACTGCTCCAGGATTCCAGGGGTGAGTTCTAGTGGTTCCAAGCCTGCCTCCTTCGGTTGAGGTTCAGAGCTTTAATTCTCGGGTCCTCTGACACCTGTTTTTGTAACAGGGTGCCCTCTTTCTAAGTCTGTTTGTGGCGGAACAACCCCATTCTACAATGCCAGATGGATCTTTAGGCTACCCTCTGCTAGGTAATTGTCTTGATGGACTTCTGTTAAGAAGGGCAATTTGGAATTACAGTGGCCACTCTGAGTATCTTTTGAGATTCCGAAATTAATGTATTTACATGCAGCATTGAAAAATGCTTCTCGTTTAAGGACATCTGAAAAAGTCAATGGCTCGAAGATAGCCTCCCTTCAAGAAACAAATCTGAAACTAAGTAAAGCAAGTTCTGAATTAAACAAAAAAGAAATCTGAACTCACTTCCTATTCTGAAACTTCCTCAGCCAATTAATAAGAAAGAGATTTCATAGGGGAGGACACAGTCATAAATCCTATAAACCTGTTTTCCAGGTCCACGCCAACCCTCTTCCCCAAACTGATGAGCTTGCAGATAAACAAACTCCCTGGGGCTTTTGATCGACGCTTCTTTTGTCTTTTTTGCCCAGCTATGACACCTTTCAGGAGAATTTATCTTTAACGTGGGATCTTCACCCTCCAAAAGTCCCCATGAGCTCTTCCCTCAGGAACTCTAACCAGTTATATGTACGAACACTTTGGTTCCTCCTCTTCTGCCTTTTGAGCAAATAGACAAGCTTGGCCAAAATAATTTAAAATTCTAACGGCCATTTAGGAAAAACTTTGTTACGTCCACCTCCAGGGCCATCCCTTAGAGAGGGAGTTCTAATCCATGGGGATGATGGAAAGCCTCTTGATTTGCACAAGCTTCTAAAAGACAAAATAACTTTTAAAAACAGTTCTAAAAGAATCCTAAAAGAAACTTTCATCATCTGAACAGGGAATTAAAAGCAAGAATCTCCTGTAATAGGCTAACATATATATATATTTATATAGTACCTAAAACAAAAGACTGTAAGACCAATTGGTTATTTATCCTTTCTCTCCCAGGGATAGCTTTTGCCTGTGCCCTAGGGCTTAGCGTGACTTTTTGCCTGCTTGGTGTTATTGAACAGAAAGGGTTCACCCACCCAGCGCTAGCAGAGCCAAACAAGAGACACCGAGAATTGCCTTGGAGAAATATTGGCTATCTGTTGATGAATGACATCATTCAGGAGGATGGGAAGCTAATGCTCAAAGCCTAAACTCCCCGAAAGAATGTAGGTTATAGGCTACATAGGGCAAAATCACAAGACATCGTGGGTTAAGGGGCTTGGAGTTGTTGGGAGCTGTTTCGTTGGAGGTGAGGTAAAGGCAGTGAATCATTTCTTCAGATCTTGAGGGCAGTTCTGAGATCTGTTCCAGTGTCCCTCCACTGGGAAGTAGACAGAGGGTCATTCCACCTTAGAGCTCAGGAAATGAGGCATAACTTAGGTCACATGTTATCGCCAGCCTGCCGGAAGTCCTGACCATGGGACCATCCCTCAGGCACAGGCCACTGTCTTTTGCTGCCTCAGGGGTTGCTGATTGTAGGGGGGAAAGGCCTGGTCTCGGAGGGGTATAGAAAGAGAGTGAAAGAGATGGTTTCTAGAGCTAGAATTTATTTTTAAAAATATTTTATTTATATTTTAGAGAGGTGAAGGGAGGAAGAGATGGAGAGAAACATCAATGTGTGGCTGCCTCTCACACATCCTCAACTGAGGACCTGGCCTGCAACCCAGGCATGTGCCCTGACTGGGAATTGAACCAGCCACCCTTTGGTTTGCAGGCCGGCACCCAATCCACTGAGCCACACCAGCCAGGTCATAGAGCTAGAATTTAAATGTAATCAAAGTCATGAGGACCCTTCGTTTCACTGGGATGGGCAGGCCATCAGCTCTTTCTTTCTGCTGTCAGAGGAAACGACTCTGGAAAATAACGACCTAGGCACTCTCTTGAGTCCATAGAATTACTTAACCCTGCCTGAAATATTTACTGCTTATCCCAGCTAAAACCTGACAAGATATTGGAAAGGACTTGATAACTTTTTGATCAGAAATCTGATAAAACTAGAAGCTAAAAATTCAAAGCCTGATAGAAATGTTTTAAAGCCTCCTCAAAATTAAAATAAAACCATGTATCCAAAGGGAAAGAAGCAAATTAAGACGTGGTCGGATGGGTAGATCAACTGAGGATGTCCCTTACCTCACAACCCAGTTCTCTGGGGAACTGGAACAGTTGCCTTTGTCTTACAAATGTTTGCACAACCAGAAATGCAGCTCTAGAAGCTTTTCAAAGCCCACCTCTCTTTCCCTTCCTCAATTCCTTAGACTGAAGGAAAAACACAAAGTTTATTTTTGCTTGTTTGTTTTGTGGTTTTAGCACAAACTGCTGTTCTGGCTCCAAGGCTCCGTACCAACGTCAAACACAAATCTTAATTATCTTTCCCACAAGTGTTAATTTAAAAATGCCTTAGACAGCTGAGTGAATAAAACTTAATTCATCCCGATTGTTATAGGTTAGTGGGTTTGGGCCTTACTGTATCTGTCTCACAGCTGAAATGTTAATCAAACCACTCGTTCTCTGTTTGCAGCTGTCTGTAGGTTCATGCGTGTGGTGTAGAATTTTCTAAATCAGGAAGGGATTGCTAATTTATAAAAGAGGTCCATTTAATTGGACTAAAGGAATTAAATACTTATATAAAAAATTCTCAAAAATATAATAGAAACTAACCCAAGATGCGTTTCAGAATTACAGTCTTGCCAGTGGAAATCGTGTTTCTTCCACCGGATCTCAAACCATTCAAGGGACCCACGTATGGGAGATTGTGCCGCGGCCAGATTTATCTTGAGTCGAAATGGAAAGCTGCCCCCAGGCTCCCAATGTCCCGTCTCCATCTGAGGCCTTCCCTAATGCTTCACCCTAAAC